CCACCATGGGTAACCATTATCACATTTGACACGTCAGTGTCACAGTGTTCAGTTTCACAGTGACGACAAGTTGCCTCGGTACATTAAGTGGACACACCAGGGCTATATGATCTAGAAGAATGTTTCACCAAAAACAATTAAAGACAGGCCTTAGGGCCGCGGATCAGAGTCACCTACCTGTGGCTTGGTAGCTTCGCTTTCGCAGATAATTTTCAGGAAGACATAATTTGATCTTTGGTATATCAAAGATTAACAGACTTGTCTCTTATGGACATTAAGGTTTGGGGCCTTATTCCCAGGTCTCTGATCTACCTTGCATTGACTTTTGTCTATGGTGTGAAATGTGGATCCTGTTTCAGCTTTCTGCGTGTGAAAGTCCAGTTTTGCCAGCATCATTTGTTGAAAAGGTTATCATTTCCCCATGTGATAGCTTTGATTCCCTTGTCGAATATCAGTTGACCATAGATAACTGGGTCTATTTCTGGTTTCTCAATTCTGTTCCATTGTTCTATGTGCTTGTCATTGTATCAGTATCATGCTGTTTTGTTTACTACTGCTGTGTAATAGGTTTTGAGGTCAGGAAGTGCTATGCCTCCCATTTCATTTTTGTTTCTCAAAAGTGTTTTACTTATTTGGGGTCTATTGCCTCTCCACATAAACTTGACAATTTCCCTTCCAGTCTCCTTGGAAAATAAATTTGGTCTGGGACTATGTTAAACATGTAGGTTGCTTTTAACAGGATTAGGATCAAGCTTAGACACGCTAGTCCAAGATATAAAGAGTTTGCCAAATACAACCAGAAATGCACAATCTGAAGAGGATAAAACTGATGCATGGGACCTTCTAAAGATTAAATACATGTGTGCATCAAAAACTTTTTTCAACAGAGTGAAAAACATTTGATAATACCATCTCAGACAACTCTAATAACAAAAGTTTATAGAATACTCCTGGCCTCCACAAGAAAAAGACTGATAACCCAATTACAAAATGGGCAAAAGACATGGAAAGAATTTTCACAGAGGAAGATATTTGAATGGCAAACAATGAAATGGCAAAAAATGAAGAAATGCTCCAAATCACTGACAGTAAGAGAGATGCAAATCAAAACCACAATAAGGTACCGACTCACTCTAGTAACAATGGCAAAATTTAACAGGGCAACAAGTAATAAATGTCGAAGAGGATGTGACAAACAAGGAACTCATATATATTGTTGGTGAGATTGTAAAATGGTACAACCATTCTGGAAAGCAGTTTGGTGCTTCCTCAAAAAGCTGGACATAGAAACTCCATACAGCCCAACAATTCCACTACTTGGAATATACCCTGAGAAAATGAAAACTGAAGAACAGAGATTTGTACACCAATATTCATAGCAGTATTATTCACCATTATAAGAACATTGTAAGAAACAGACCAAATGTCCAACCACAAAAGAATGGATTGAGAAATTATGGTACATTCACACAATGGAATACTAAGCAGAATGCAGAAGCAATGATTATTACCTAACTTGGGAAGGACTGAAGAGCATTATGTTGAGTGAACTAACTCAGTCCCACAAGGATAAATATTGTATAAGATTGCTATTGTAGAATGAGTATAAGGATCCAAGAGGGGTGGAAGGGAGGGGAAGGGTTGTACAATTTGATGGTTGTGGGGTGAGGGTAATTGAAAGAATTTATTCTGAAAACAACATATTCAAATTTTGTAAATAAACTAGTAGAAAATTTAAAAAAAATAATAGGCTTTACAAACCAGCACAACAAAACAATTAAAAAGGCTAATGAATCAGTTTTTGACAGCGCAGGAGGGGAAGACCCTCTATGAGATGGATTGATTCGGTGACTGGGGTAATCTGGATGGGTGTGTCAGAGGCGGTGCGGTTGGCGCAGGATAGAGCAGGGTTTAGAGCTGTTGTGCATAGGGTCGCTATGAGTCGGAAACGACTCGATGGCACATAACAACAACAACAACATATCTTTTTTAAAAAATAAGAAATTCATAATAGATTGACATTTGATAGAAACATTTCTTTTCACTTTCCTAGAAGTTCCACTTTCCCTCTCTCCCACCTTCCCTCCCTCCCTCCCTCCCTCTCTCTCTCTCTCCTCTTCATGAAGTTATCTTTACCTTTCTCATCTTTCATGTCTTTCCTGTGCTGTATATATCAGCTACCAATTGCTAAGTATGTGGATTAGTTAATTTATTAAATCAAGAGTTTTAAAAATGTTCCATTCTGTTCTCTTTCTTAGTGCACTAAGACTAAAATAGTTAGAACTTATATTAGACTTAGATTTTATCATTTGAAATTTGAGTAGTTGAAAATAGATCTAAGCTTAACATAACGGAAGGCAATAATTTTGAATCTAAGTCTTAATTGATTCCTAGTCTAGATTATTTTTCTAATTTGATCTATAATGTTAACATATATTAGAAACTATTTCTCCCAATTTTTGTTGTTGTTGTGTACCATCGAGTCAGCCTCAACCCATATGTAACTTTCCAGACGGTTTCCAGAGGCAGTTAAGGAAACAGGAGGAGATTGCCCATCTTCCTCCCGTAAAAGAGCTGGTGGATTTAAACTTCATGCTTTTGACATTGCAGCACAGCTTTTCCCCACTGGATCACCAGAGCGCCCTGTTCCTGCCAATAGTTTTGTTTAATCTGAAAATACACAAGAACTTTACATTGCTGTCGTTGTTGTGTGCTCTCCAAAGGACTCATAGCTGACTCTACTGCAGGTTTTCAGGATCAGTAAATCTCCTTATGCAGAGCAACTGGTGGATCCAACCTACATGCCTTTGGGTAGCCATGCAGCTCTACAACTCGCCTATGAGACCTTACCCTAAGACTCTTTAAATGCATCTAACTCATTGCTGTCCAGCAGCAATCAACTCATAGCTGACTTTCCTTTGGGTTTCCAAGGCTGTAAAGTGCATGAGAAGGGTTGCCCATCATTTCCCCATAGAACTGCTGATGGATTGGAACTATGAGAGAGATGCAGCCTTTGGGTTAGCAGGGTAACTCCCTAGGGTCTCTGCTACCACAATTCTCTTTGAGTGTATCTGGCTTAAATGAATAGAAATTGTTTACCTGTCTCTTTCTAAAGTTATGTCTTTCTCTTATCTAATTTCATGAACCACTGACCCTTTACCTCAACTCCCAAGTCCTGTTTCAAACTGCCATTACCTTAATAATGCTTCTGGATACTTTGCTCTAGGTTATTGATAGCCAGGATGCATTGTTCACCTTTGCCTTGTGGATAATTTGGCTGCCCATATCCACAACTGTAGTTTTAATGGCTCACTCCATAAGAGTGATGCTGCTAAACTCAAAAGGTCATGCCTCTCTGGAAATTTTAATGCACCAGCTACTTACTACATGGCAGAAAGATGGTCAGTTAGGTAGCTTAATGTTGCAAAGGCATGCAGTTCAAACTCACCAACTACTCTAGATGGGCAATCTCCTGCCATGCGATTAAACTGCCTCTGAACCCCCCCCCCCCCGCCCCGCTCCCGGAGGGTGAAATATGAGTCTTTTCTGATTGGACTTTACACACAGCAAATTCTAAACTAAACCCAAAGCCCCACCCACTTGCTGTCAAATCTATCGCAGGTTATAGTGACCCTATAGGCTACAGTAGAACTGCTCCCCAAGATTATCAAGCTTAGAAATTTTTGCATAGAGAGACTGTCACATATTTCTCCCACGAAGTATATGACAGGTTTTAAGCACTGAGTTTTTGGTTACCCAATTAACCCTTAACTGTGAATTAGTTAATACTGGGACTGCAGGACTCCTTGAGACAAAAGAGAATTCTTTTCAGTCATTTGGAAAGTCATTTCTCCATCATTCTCCTCACTGTGACACGACTAAATTTAGTCTCTGATGAATATTCCTGAATGCACTTATTAACTGCATTTTAGATGCATATTTCTCACCATATCACTGTGGGGGCTCCCTCCGTGCAGTATAAAATGAGAGTTCCAAAGCTCAAGATGTATATAAGAAGAAAACAAACTGGGAAAACGATAGCTTCCTCAAGCCTGGGTTTAATTGTTTTTTGTCAAACATTCTTCTAAGGGGTATAGCACTGGTCTGTTGTCTATTTGCTATACAAAGGTAGCTCATGTTTGCTGTGATGGTGAACACTGTGACCCTGATGTGTCAAATGTGACTGTGGTTACTCATGGTGGACAGTGTTTGGTAGAGCTCCTCGATTGAAACAAGCATGGAAGCAGGAGTGGCATCCACTTCCAAAACAGCTTGCCTCCAGAAACTCTATGAACTTGGAGAAACAATGAAAATTATACAAGTGTTCAGGTCTTTCTAGAGTCACTATGAGTCGTCTACGACTCAACGGCACTTAACAGCAACAACAACATAGCTTCCTCTGTTTGACTTTTGCCAAATATCTACTGGTACGCTGGTTACTCTAAATACTTGTTGAAAAAAAAAATCCCTTATGTTCTCAAACAGTGTTTACTTTTAGTAGGTCCTCAGAACGATTTGGCATCAGTTAAATCTTTGGTTTATTGATTTACTTAAGCAAAATTTGGTCCATAAATAGCTAAGCAACAGACAAAGTGCTAATAAGATTATCTCATGAAGACATTTTTAATGAAGTGGAATTAATTCAAGTCATGTCTTCTGGGAATAAAAGTGTATTTCCATAAACAAGCAAAAAACAGGTTAAAAAAAAAAAGAGAACATGTCCTTCATATCTCCTCTAATGTCCATATTCTCTGCACCTGTCTGTTCCTTTTATCCCGAGGTGATTTTAATCTTCTGTTTGTTTTGATACTATAAATCCAAGTACATGTGGTTCACTCAGAGATTACCCTCTGAAAGTTGGTTTATGCCTGTTCTTTCTTACCTCAAAAAGTAAAGGGAAATGTGTGCGTGCGTGTATGTGTGTCCTGTTGGTGATGCTGGTGGTTAAAAAAGCAAGTTAGGACTTCCTCTTTAAAACTGTTGCTTTTTCCTCTCATACGAGGGAGATTTCATTTTGTTTGAGACTGGATTCAGTTGAAACCAAGCCACATACCAAAGAAAGGGTATGATGGCAAAGAAGCCCCCTAAACCAGCCCCTCGCAGGATCTTCCAGGAAAGGTTAAAGATTACTGCTCTACCCTTATATTTTGAAGGCTTTTTATTTGTTAAACGGCCAGAATACCTGGTAAGTATATACATAATACTGTTACATCAGAAGCTTCTGCTTTATAAAAAATGTATTTAATGATAAAGTAATGTGATAAGAACCATCATACTTCAGTTGAGATTAAACACCCTTGGATGAGATCAGAAAGCATTTCTATGGGGTTTTTTTAAATGTTTTAAATACTATCTATGATTTATACAGGCATGTATGTATAGAAAAACCTGCAAAATCCCCGCAGGCAATTTACTGTCTCTGAAAACATGCTAGAGGGTAAGCTATGGGTTGGTTCTGACTTGATGGCACGCAACAACAACAATGTAATGTAAGATTCTAATATAATTCAGTTACTAATATAAAAAATTTGATATCTAAATACCCAATGAATTAATTTCAACATCACAGAAGACTTTGTTTTAAATGTTTTCTATGTTGTCTCAACTGTTTACCACTGTTTTTCCATGATCATTAAGATAAAATAATGTGATTGTGGTTAAATGTCCTGCTCTTATCCCCATCTTATTATAAATAATAATTTATTTGTATAAGTTTATCATTAATAATTAAGTATATAACAGGAAATTATTATAAAAATAGTAAGACTGATATCATCTAACACTTTAATAGGGATAGCAGTGAACCAAGAAATACTTCCTTTGAATATGCACAGAGTTGCCAGAAGTTTGGGGCCAATAGTCAGATAATAAAAATAGTTATGGTTATGAAACATTGTTTAATATAGGTACTTTTGCAAGATAATATTTAAAGTGCTAACATAGCTAGTACATGCACAAAGCCATTTGCACAAAGAAAATCCACAAAGCACTCCATATTTTAAAATGTCAACAATAAAACCCCACAAATTAAAAAAAGTGATGCCTTAAAAAAGAGTGATTGTAAGTAAAGAAGTATAAAATAGAAGTTTTATTTCAATAAAAACAAGAGTGTGGTTAATTTTGATAATTACAAGAAGAATATACACGAATATGCTTATTATTAAGGAAAAATAAATAATTTATTTAGGTTGTATTTTAATATTAATAGAACTAGAAAATTTAAAGTACTTTCAGAAATGGCTTAAGAGATGTTTAACAATAACTGTAAAATAACAAACATATTTTCTGAGAATTTATTAAGAGTAAATGTGTGTATATAAGCATCTATGATCGCTCACTCATGCACTTATCGCTCTCAGTCAGGAATTGACTAACAGCTGACCTTCCAGTGAGCTTCAGAGACTGTAAATCGCATGGGAGGACATTGTTTTTCTTTCTCCTATGGAGTTACTGGTGCATTCAAACCAGCAGCGAGCTGTTGCCTTTGAGCTAACAGCACTACTCCCTATGGAGTAAGCCGCTAGAACTCTCTGCATCTAGATAGCATGCTATTATTTCTTGTATATATTATTAGATCATGGACCATTTATTAAAATTTTTATTTTATATTGGTTTGCATATAAAATTTATATATATTGTGTTTCACAGTTGTCTTCATTCAACAATTTACTCCTATACGTTGCGTTTTATAAAATTAATCTCCATTGAATTATGCCCACCATTGCCCTATCTTTTCAGGATCTTTCCCTTTTCCTTTATCCCCTCCCTCACCCATCAAATTGTACAGCCATGTGATTCCCTCCTGCTCACTCTCCCCTCTCTGCTCCCATCCCTTGACCCCTTAAACTCCCACACATGTTTTACTAGTTATTCTTCTATTTTTATAATAATAATATTAGGCAGAATTTGTCCTATCAGACCGAGTTCATTCAGCATAATGCTCCTCAGTCTCTCCCAAGTTATGTAGCACTTTTCCAAGTCTTTGCTCCTGAATGCTGTGCCATATTCCACCTTGTGAAGGATGAACTGTAATTGTGTGAATGAATGGGAACTTCTCAATCCATTTGATTGTGGTTCGATCATGTACTGTTTTGAGAGTAAAGACATAGCAATTTGTATGTTATGGATGGTAAACATTTACTCACAATATTTGCCAATTATGATAATGAAGAAAGACTATTCCCTGAGAAGGAGACCCTGTTTGGTAAGATAGAAAACAATTCAAATTCCCTGTGGGATGAAATTATACAGTGGCTGCAAAAAGGAATTAAAACATTGTATATGTAAGGTCAGCACGAGTGAGGCAGTAATTAACAACTACATTGGAATATTTTTTTTATTGACCACTCAGCTTACTTTTGTAAATGTTTAAAATAAATTCAATCTTTTCATCACAAATTAGTCACATTGGTCCTCTGTGCCAGGTACAAAGAATGAAAAGTAGGTCAAGAGGGGGAAAAATAATTTTAAATTACATTGGGTTATTCATTGACTCTTTTCCAAACTATTTAAAAGAACTGTTTCAGATACCAGCTTACTTTTAATGCTTAAAGAAGTCACATCATTCATATTGGTGGCAGGATGAACAAGAATTTTAAACTGTCAGAGAGAATAAATGTGCCTTTAACACTTATTTGCCATTTGTAGCTTGTGATCTTCTTAAATTACCATGAGACTTAATCTCTCATTTTAAAAATGTAGAGACTATTTCTTGTTTCTCAATACAATGCCTGGTACACAGCAGGAGTACAATCATTTATTGTTTCTTATGTACTCAAGCATCAATCACATTAAATACTAAAGATACAAACATGAGTAAGAGTTGAAGACTTTACATTCTAGAGACTTAGAGTTTAGCAGGGGTGATGATCCTGTTTGCTACTCATTATTTTCCCTAGACACTGAGCTTTGAAATGGAAGAAAGAAAACATAGCCATAAGGATTTCTGGTGAAATTAACTTGTCTGTCCATTGAGTTCATTGTTGTTGTTGTTGTTATGTGCCATCGAGTCGCTTGCGACTCATAGCGACCCTATGTACAACATCCCTAAACTCTGCTCTGTCTTGTACCAATCGCACTGTCTCTGACACATCGATCCCGATTACCCCAGTCACTGAATCAATCCACCTCCTAGGGGGCCTTCCCCTTCTGCGCTGTCCCTCCACCATACCAAGCATGATGTCCCTCTCCAAGGATCTGTCCCTCCTTATAACATGTCCAAAGTATGTTAGACGGAGGCTTAGAATCCTTGCCTCCAAGGAGCAGCCCGGTTTGACCCTTTCCAGGATGAATCTGTTTGTTTTCCTAGCAGTCCATGGTACCCTCAATATAGCAAAGGATTTTTTTAAATCCACATAATAGAGAGAAAAAAGGGAGAGGACAAAAAAATAATGTTACTTTACCACCCAGAGAAGGTCACCATAAAAAGAGCCTCACCTCAGGAGCACACTGACTCTCCTCCATATTTCCTCCATGGAGTGAGATCTGTTAAATTGGGGATGTAACTTTCTAATAAATCTATCATTACTATTCTACCTTCAAAAAGATGTTAATTTATAGGTGATTCCAAGGATTAAAAGGGATAATATATGTAAAACACCTGAGTCACACTAAAGGTTAGATCACTCATGTCCCATTTCATTGCTAATTGTATTCTCACTAACAAAATGAAATTTGAGTCCACAAGTTTGTTATGTGCCATCCAATCGACTATGACCCATAGCAACATTATGAAAAACAGATCTGACCCTGCCCTATCCTGTGCCATCTCTCAGTTTCTGATACAGTTGAGCCCTTGCAGCAGTCACTGTGTCAATCCACCTGGTTGAGGGTCTTCCTCTCCCTAATCCTCCACTCCTCCCAGTATCATATCTCTCTCCAAGGAACAGCACCTTCCAGCAACTTACTGGAAGTATGTGAGACAACACTGTATCATCTCTGCTTCCAAGCAGCACTTTAGCTGCACTTCTTCCAAGACATATTTGTTCGTTCTTTTAGCAGTCCACAGCATGTTTCGTGCTCTTTTCCAACACCACAGCTCAAAGGCATCAGTTCCTCTTCTGTGATCCTTATTCTTTGTCCAGCTTTCAAATGCAGAACAAGAGATCATGGCCTAAATTAGATGCACCTTGTTCCTCAAACTGACATCATTGCTGTTCAATAATTTGGAGAAGTCCTCTTCCGCAGACTTTCCCATTGCAGTACATCTCCAGATTTGTGGACCCTTCTTAAATATAGTCCACAAGTAATATGGCTAAAAAAAAAAAAAGAACCACAGTGATAATTACAAAGTAGAGGACAAGAGGGGAAAATGCATGAAATTAAATAAGATTATCAGAAAACAAGCAATAAACCAGGGAAAATATGAAACTAAAATGAACCCAGGGAATAAGGTAATCTTTTATCTAACAGAGGGGTCTCTGGTGGAGAACTTCAGAATATTTAATCTAGAGAAAGCACAACTAATGAGAATCTGGTCTATAAAAAATGATTACATATTGAGAGATACTTTTAGCTGGTTTGTGGCAGGTGTATTGTAAGAATCAAAAAAGTCTTGTTTCAGGAAACTTGTCAGCATAAAACATTTTT